TTCCTGGTGTGGCCTTGAAGGATAAGCACTGGACTGCTAACTGTAGGGTTGGCAATTCAAAGCCACCAGCTGCTCCTTGGAAACCCTGTACAAGGTCGCTTTAAGTGAGAACTGACTCAGAGGCATTTGAGAACAACAAATGTCCCTGGTGGCACAGTGGTTAAGTGCTTGACTGCTAACCGAAAGGTCAGTGGTTGGAACCCATCAGCCACCCGGGGCGGTTGGGGGGCGGTGGGGCAGCGGGGGGTAGACCTGGTGATCTGTTCCTGTGAAGATTATTGCCTTGGAAGCCTTTTGAGGCAGTTCTCCTCTGTCCTGTAGGGTTGCTGTGAGTTGGAATTGACTTGATGCACAAAACAACAATGGTGTCTATAATTCTTGAGGGTTTCTGGCCTACTGTATTGTGAATCACTTGCTTTCATAGCTTCCCCCGTGCCTGTAAGATGCTCTCCCTGCTTTCTAGTTTCCAGATTACCTTCATTCTTATTTTCTCCCATATTTTGAAGGTTTGATATCTTTTTTATTCTTGTTAAGTACAGTCAAGTCGGTTCCAACTCATAGTGACCCTGTATAGGTTTCCGAGGCTGTAAATATTTGCAGGAGTAGAAACCCTCAAACAGGTGTTTAGCTATCAAAATTGGTTCAAACTGATGAAAAGCCTAGCCCTAGTAGCTACATCCATAACCACATAAGTTCTATCTACCTAGAGGTTATGGAACCAAGTCAGCAGTCATGTGGCCAGAAGAGTAGGTGTGGACTCCAGGTTACAGAGAGATTCACGATTTCAAACCTCAGAGTCATCACCAGGAGAGTGCTCAATTGCTAATAAAATCTGGGTGAATGAATTTACTAGACCAGGAAACCTCTCTCCCCTCACCACACTCAGCCTTATCTAAGTGTTGGTAGGGTGGAATAATTCTGCAATAGGCTAGGATAGGTGTGTGCTGAAGACCAAGTGTACCTCATCAGTCTCAGGGTGGAACTGCATAAAATTTGATTCTAATTCACTTGGGTGTACCATAATTATTATTTATCACTCTTGAGCACTCTACCATAAAAGCGCCTGAGCCATTCAATTCCTGACATCAATGCTGTGGCACCTGAGCAAGGGTCATTTGGCCATTTGTCATGTCAGCAGGCCCTGAGATCAGCCTTCGGGCTTATAAAATACTGACTAAACCTGATTAAATAATGTGTCACTAAAACAAAATCCTTATGTGCTGTACTCTAAATGAGACAGGCAATAGCAGAAGCAAAAACTTTTTGAGAAGTAAACGGGGGGGGGGGGCAGAGGGGGTTGGGAAATGTTATCCATTGACCTAATTGTCATTGTTGTATAATGATTAGATCACAGTTGAGAGCTACTGATAGAACATTTAGCTTTTGAAATTCAAGTATTTGTTAGTCACAGTCTTTAACCCAATAAATATTCATTTAATGTTTACTATGGTGCTGGGCTGTATGGCACTATGGGATAAAGCACTGGACTGCAAGGTTGGTTTGAACCACAAGGTCAGTAGTTCAAACCTACCAGTTCAAACCTACCCCTTGGGAACCCTGTGTAGTGTTGCTGAGTTGGAACCGATTTAACAGCGCTAGACAACAACAACACTGTGCTAGGCTAGTAGCAGTAGTGGTTCAGCAGCAGAATCCTTGCCTTCCTTGCAGATCATCCAGGCCAGTGCTCGTGTTTACCTATTGCCTGTCTGTCAGTGGTGTCTTGTGTGTTCCTAAGATGCTGAACTGGTTTCAGTGAAGCTTCCTAGCCTAGGAAGAAAGATCTGGTTATCTACTTCTGAAAAACTGTCCATTGAAAATTGTGTGAATCACAAAAGGCCCATGCAGAATCAGTCATTGGGATGGTGTTCATGGGGTTGCCATGTCAGGAATCTACCAGATGGCAGCTAACAACAAAGTGCTAAGAGTGCTAATCTAATTCTTGTAGCAAACAAGATTCACAGTCTTGTTTTCAAAGAGGGAAGCAGAAATGATCCTGTAATTACAATGAAGCTCAGTGAGATAAAGAAAATACAAGATGCTGTGGCAGTATGCAGTAGGTGAACATGCCTGGAGTGGTCATTAAAGTCCTTGTAGAAAAATGTTATTTAAGCTGAGACTTAAAGGTTGATCAAAAGTAAGCTGGGTCAGCAGACATCTTTAAGAAATAAGTTACTGGGCTCAGGACGGTAGTCTCAGGGACACTGGTGTCAATTGGCATACAATAGCCCACAAAGATAGTGTTCTGTATCCTACTTGCGGTGAGTAGTAACTGGGATCTTAAAAGCTCATGAGCAGCTATTAAAGGTGCAGCTATTGGTCTATCCCTGCCTAGAGGTAAACAGTGATGAAAATTGAAGATTCTTGGAAACAGTCCATTGAACTGCTGGAATATATGACTATCAGTCTTCATGACCCTGAGATCAGAAGAACTAGATGGTGCATGGGTACTACTATCAACTGCTCTGAAAGGGACCATATTAGGGATCTTGGATAGAGTGAGAGAAAATGTGGGACAAAACTCAAAATCATAAAGACTAGCTTTGCTGGGCAGAAATGAGACTGGTGGAACCCAAGACTCTGGCTGTGGGTCACGTTTCAGGTCTGGAACTGAACTCACCCCTCTGGTTCAATTTTCAGCCAAGCAATTTGTTGTTGTTGTAAAGCCCCGTTGAGTCAGTTCCAGCTCATAGCGACCCTGTCTGTTAAGGGTTTCCAAGGAGTGGCTGGTGAGCTTGATCCTCTGACCTTGTGGTTCAAACCGGCTTTGCAGTCCAATGCATTGACCCACAGTGCCACACCAGAATGGAGACAACACTAGTGAAGTATGCACACCGTGGAATGGGCAGCCATTTGATATAAAAAAGACAGCATTTGCGCAAGAACAAAGTTCAAAAGAGTTGGGAAAGAGGGAGGAATAGAAAGGATAAACACAGGGAGGAAGTAGGATAGTGGTGTTACATGGAGGGAAGGACAGTTGTTGAGATGAAATAAAGTATGTGATTTGTTGAATGTAAAATAGATGATCTGTTCTGTAAAGCTTCACTCAATTCAATATAAAAAGTTTTAAAAATAAACAGGGTGTGAAAGAGTGTTCTAGACAGAATGAACAGTAGAAATGAAGGCTGGAGAAAGGATGGCACATTTTAGGAACAAAATAGTTGTAAAAGTGAGGCGTATGGAGAAAACTTCAAGAAGAAAGGCAAGATCGCACAGGACCTTATAAGCGTGTCAAGGAATGAATTTGAACTTTATCCTAAAGGCAACAGGAAATAATAAAAAGAGCTTTAAGCAAGGAACCAGTCAAATCTGTATTTTGGAAAAACTGCTGTTTTGTGGCATGGTAATGGGGAACAAGCAAGACTAGAAGCAGAAAGATTGATTAGGGGTCGCTAACAGGAGCCATTTGAGATCAAAAGGACAGCATTTATCCAGGTTCAAAAGTGTTGGCAAAGGAGGAGAAAAGAAAAAAAAAAAAAACACAGGGAGGAAGTAGGCTGTCATTGTGGAACTTACATGGCACCTTGGATTAGAATCATGGGAGAGTGGAGAAAGCTGGGCACATTCAAGAGATATGTAGACCACTGTGCAATATTAATGGTATTAATCACTGGAATATAAAATGTAGTCATCAAGGTCAGCAGTTCAAACCTACCAACCCCTCTTGGAAACCCTATGCAGGATCACTGTGAGTTGCAACCAACTCAGCAGCACACAAGATAGTGATAGAGCCCTGGTGGCACTATAGCATAAGCACTAGACTGCTAACTACAAGGTCAGCAGTTGAAACCCACTCTGCAGGAAAAAGATGAAGCTTTCTGCTCCCTTACAGATGGACAGCCTTAGAAACATACACAATTGCTGTGAGTGGGATTCGAAGACAGTAGGTTTGGTTTTTTATTTGGGAAGCTAGTGATAAGGAGCCCTGGTGATGCTATGGTTAAGCATTGGGCTGCTCCTGAAAGAACAGCTGTTCAAACCCATCAGCTATGCCATGGAGAAATATCTGGCAGTTTGCTTCCATAAAAATTACAGCCTTGGAGACTCTATGGGGCAGACCTACGGTGTCCTATAGGGTTACTGTATACTGGAAACCACTTGATGGCAGTGGTTTGGTTTTAGGTTTTGGGTATTTGTGTGTTTCTCAGCTTTTAAAGTTCAGAAACTGTCATTTTGTTATGTTTTCTTTTCTCATGTCCCACAATATCTTTAGAAGAACTTACATAACTTTTCACACTTAGAAAACTAATGTAGAAACCATAAAGTTTAAATGAGAATGAGATAAAACATTTAAGTGCATTTTGACTTCTGCTAGCTGGTGTAGTCATGTCCTATAAGAAAATCCATATGGGGAGCCATTTTATAAATAAGGTAGTTGGTGAGCATGGAGTCAGAATCAGGGGAGTTTATGAAGGCATTGGTTAGTGGGGTGATGCTCTAATAGCCTGGTGTCCGATGCACCTACTACGCCTGCCGTAGGATAGGCACCCAACCATAAGGTTGGTTTGGACCTCAAGGTTCAAACTCACCAGCCGATCCTCGGAAACCCTGTTGTTGTTGTTATGTGCTGTAGAGTCGGTTCCGATTCACAGCAATCCTGCACAGGGTTTCTGAGGCTGTAAATCTTTACGGGAGCAGAAAGCCTCATCTTTCTCCTGCAGAACAGCTGGTAGTTTCGAACTGCTGACCGTGAGATTAGCAGCCTGATTCATAACCACTATGCTATCAGAGCTTCTTTAACAGGGTCGCTATGAGTCAGAGTCAACTCGATGGCACTTAATAGTTGCAACTAAGCCCGCTAGACAGAGCTTTTGGCTGTTTTAGCTCTTAATTTAAATTTATCTTTGATTACAATTGAGTTGGGAGGTATTTCTACTTTTAAGATAATTTCTGCAAATAGCTAATAATTCAAATAATAAGACAGCCTTATTTCCATGTTTGGGAAGTATTTTATTTCATTGTTATGAATTATGAATTGAGTTGCCTTTTTTTCCCCAAAATAGTGTCCTTGGGCTACCTCTCAAAATACAATGTCTTGTTCCTTGACTGATGTAATGAGTGAACAATTGGCTAAAGAATTACAGTTAGAAGAAGAAGCTGCTATGTTTCCTGAAGCCGGTGGGTAAGTTAAACTCGCCAAGAACTTATTTGATCAGAAGCTTATTTTATACCAGAGTTTTAGAATTTGATTAGTCTCCTCGTGCCTTCACAGGTTTGTGTCATTAGTTATGAGGGAAACCAGGCAGAAAATGTGATTGACCTGGTAGGGCACAAGGAGACTTGAGAAAGCAAAAGAGTTTTAATAAAATCCAAACTGAGAGCATCTGAAATTCACTTGTGCTATGTTCTAGCAAAATGATGACATACTTTTTCAAAACAATAGTGCAATAGAAAGAGCGCCATTGATACTGAATTTGTGGTTGTTTCTGACGGATTATTAGTATAATCTTGGGCAGACCACTCCTTTGCTCTGGGCTTTAGTTATGTTAATGCAACAGGTGAACTAGCTGATTTTCAAATTGATGAAGATTTTTCATCATTTAGCATTCATTATAACTATTTTATCTTTTTGTTAGAACATAGCACAAGTGAATTGATGGTCTCAGTTTGGATTTTATTAAAATCCTTTTGCTTTCTCTTGTTGCTTTCTCAAGTCTCTTTTTGCCCTCACAGGTTTGTATCATTAGTTATGAGGGAAACCAGGCAGGAAATGTGATTGACCTGGTAGAGTTCTTTCCTATTGCTTCTTCAGTGGAACGTTAATACTGAGAATGTAGTGACTGCTCTCATAATTAATAGCTCCTGTTTACACATTGTTGTTGTTAAGTGCCATCGAGTCGGTTCCAACCCATAGGGACCCTGAACAGGGTTTCCGAGGCTGTAAGTCTTTATGGGAGCAGAAAGCCTCATCTTTCTCCCATGGAGCAGCTGGTAGTTTCGAACTGCTGACCTTGCGGTTCGCAGCCCGATTCGTAACCACTACGCTACCAGAGCTCCTTAGGTTTACACATTACACTCATTTATTTTGATTTATTTTGATAGTGTTGCTGAAGGACCATTTATTACTGGAGAAAACACTGACACCTCCAGCGATCTAATGTTGGCTCAGATGCTGCAAATGGAATTTGACCGAGAATATGATGCTCAGCTTAGGCGTGAAGAAAAAAAATTCAATGGAGATAGCAAAGGTACTAATCATGTTGTGGCATACTGGGTGATAGAAAGTGCTTATACAAGGGGGCTTCAGAAAGTACCTGGAAAAATTCTGTTATTTTTTAATTCAATTTTTCATGAACTTTTATGAAGCCCAAGGCCCCCTTTAACATGCCTCTAAATGAATCTTCAACTATTTTTTCCTTTTAAGTTTCCATTTCCTTTGAAAATTATCGAAAAGTGCATCCTTATGAAGACAGTGATAGCTCTGAAGATGAAGTTGACTGGCAAGATACTCGGGATGATCCTTACATACCAGGTATCAGTAGTTTTAAATATCTTTCGAAGGTATGGGTTGGGCGTATAGACTAGAAGTGCTCTCTAGTGAACACTTTTTGGAGTCCTGGTGTGGTGCTGAGGGTTAATGCGCCTGGACTGCAATATCACTTTGAACCACAAGATCAGTAATTCAAGTTCCTCAGCCGCTTTTCAGAAACCTATACAGGGTTGCTGTGAGTCAGCCAACTCGATGGCACATAACAACAACAACAGTGAACACTTTTAGTTTTATAGTTATCTTTCAGTCTGTCATTTGTTAATTTACTCTGTTAGATTCAAATGTCTTTTCAGATGTTGTTGAATGCACCATTTATAGTGTTTGCTATTATTATATACTTGGCTTCTCTTACTTGCCTTTAGCAAAACCAGTTCCTACTCCCAAAAAGGGTTTTATTGGAAAAGGAAAAGACATCACCACCAAACATGATGAAGTAGTATGTGGGAGAAAGAATACAGCAAGAATGGAAAATGTAAGTTACAGAAAGTATATCTGAATTGAGAGTTTTGTTTGAATTAGTTGAAAACAGGACTTTAAAATAGATGGCAATACCACAAAATCTCAGCTATTAATAAGAATATAAAGCTCTCTAGAAATCTTAAGAAAAATAGTTTGATTTACCTTGATTCTCAAATAGTTATTATGAAACTAACATATTTCTTTTTCAGCATATTATTTTATGTAAAATTGCAGTGGCGCTTTAGGTTAATGCACAGGACTGCAAAGTCAGTTTCATCCGCAAGGTCGGTGGTTCAAGCTCATCAGCCACTCCTCAGAAACCCTTTACAGGGTCGCTATGGATCAGAACTGACTCGACGGCACTTAACAACAACAACAATCAAGAAAGAGACAAGAGTAGTTTTTGGTGGATAAGAATAGGAGGGAGAATTACTTTTTACTATACACTATTTTTTTCAAACCAAAGGTCTCACATATTTAACCAACCTTTTAATTTGGAAGCAAAAAAAACCAGAAAAAAACCAAAGTTTTGCAAGACATGTTCAATTGTTCAGATCTTGGCAAAATTTAGCATATTGCTCAAACGTAGGTAGGTACATTGCAGGTGCCATTACATGTGCGACTCCTCATAGACCCAGCTTGGTTCTTCTTCAGTGCCTTCTCTTGGAGAGTGCTACCTGATGTTATTCTCAGTTTTCATTCCAATCTATTGGAGAATGGAACAATTCTTCTGTTGTTTCTTGACCAGGAATCTCTTGATCGCGAAAGTATTATGAGGAGACATAGCAAAGATGAAAGGTAGCAGCATTCACACGAGGGCAAAGAAAGAAGGAGATACTCTATACTTTTTGAGCCTTTAACGTTTTTTATTGTGCATGAACTACCACCTCTGCAATGTCAGACAAAATACATAATTTTTTTAAGGCAATCTTTCTGTTTCATATGCAATAAAACATGGAACTTTACAATATAAATGCTTCTTAAGTATAATATGAAATTGTAGCAATTCTAGAAATGTTACAGATCTGACTCTAGAACAGCACTGTCCAATAACACTTTCTGTAGTAATGGAAATACTGTTCATTATGGTAGCCACTACACATGATTCAGCCCTTAAATATAGCTGAGGAATGGAATTTTTTATTTAATCTTAATTTAAACATAAATATCCACATATTGGATAGCACAACTTAAGAACTATACTACCCACTCCTCAAACATAGTTAGGAAATTGTATTTCTTAAGTAAGATTTGGCATAACCTTCAAAATACATTATTGTCTTCCCTGGCTGTTGGAAAAGCCAGGTACAGAGCATATATATGCTGAAAGACCTTAATTTTTAGATATAATTAGACTTTTTCTGTAGAATAAAGTTAATATGCTACATTGTTCAATTTTGTATCCTAAAGAAAAACCCTTTTTTGGGTTGTAATTTCTGAGATGATCTTGCTCCTTTTTCTATTGGGTTTACTACTAGTAAGTTCTTGAATTTTTTTTGTAATACCTCTAGGTTGTGCTTTTTTAACATGATCATTGGTGAACTGAAAAATAATGTTCCAAGTAAAGACAGATCTTTTTTGTTTATTCTGTTTTCATGTTGAAGTATTCATTTGCTGTTTTTTGTTTTTTTTTTTTTTGTTTTTTCTTGGCAGTTTGCACCAGGGTTTCAGGTGGGAGATGGAATTGGAATGGATTTAAAACTATCAAACCATGTTTTCAATGCTTTAAAACAACATGCCTATTCAGAAGAACGTCGAAGTGCCCGCCTCCATGAGAAAAAGGAGCATTCTACTGCAGTACGTTTTGTCTGTCTGTTTTCCGATGGATTTACATTAGAAAATTTTATGTTGTGGGGAGGGGAGAGAAAGCTCTGTGCTTGATGTCTGCTCATAACTATGTGAATTTACTATTTGATAATTTAGTTTTAATGTAATGGTTAGTAACTGCTTATTCAGAGCTAGCATTTTGGTAGTCATAATTCACTTAGATTTTGTGGTTTATATTGCAGCTGGATGTTTCAGGATTCTTTAAAAACAAACAAACGATTCCTATTACATTACTGACACATTTAAAATAACTTAATCTAATGTTTGCAATAATAAAGATAGTATATAGTTATGTTGAGAAAAAGCTAATTTATTAACCCTTTAGGAGAACAAGTCAATGATAAGTGTGCTAGTAGAGCTGTTTAAACTTGGGGGGAAAGTTCAGCCTTTTTACTAAGTTAGTTGCCTTATCTTATGGTTCTTTTTTATATCATTTTCAACCGTATTAGAGTGAAAGTATGTAGACATGAATTGTAACTAATTAGAACTCTTTGTTAAGAGGCTGTTATGTACAAAATTAGATAAATTGAATAATAAATGTACAAACAAAATCATTTTTTTTAAATCAAAGATATGGGAAATAGTTCAGAAAACACATTTTGTTTATTAGTTATTTTCACTTATAGTGTTCTGTCTTTTACAGGAAAAAGCAGTTGATCCTAAGACACGTTTACTTATGTATAAAATGGTCAACTCTGGAATGTTGGAGACAATCACTGGCTGTATTAGTACAGGAAAGGAATCTGTTGTCTTTCATGCATATGGAGGGAGGTAAATGTGCAAAATAAAATGCTAGCAAGTAAACAAAAGCTTAATTCCTCCTTCCCAATATTAGTGGATTTACACAAGATCTAAGTTAACACTTCATGGCAAGCAAAGTAATTTTAAAAGTGTTATAAAAAAATCTAGACAGTATGTGGTTGTCGTTAGGTGCTATCAGGTCACTTTTGTGTCATGGTGATCCTGTGTTCAAGAATGAAACGCTGTCTGGTCCTCCATTCTCACAATTGTTGCTATATTTGAACCCATTGTTGTAGTCACTATATTCAGTCTTTCTTATTGAGGATCTTCTTTTTCAATACATGACGTCAGTTACCAAACATGTCATTCCCAATAACATGTCCAATGTACATGAGATAAAGTCAAGCTATCCTGGTTCTAAGGTGCATTCTGGCTGTACCTCTTCAAAGATAGATTTGTTTGTTCTTCTGACAGTTGATGGTACTTTCCGTATTCTTCACCAACTCTATAATTCAATGCATTTGATTCTTCTCTGCTCTTTCTTACTCATTGTCCAGCTTTCACATGCATATGAAAATACCATGATTTGGGTCTAGGGCACCTTAGTCTTCAAGGTGACATCTTTGCTCTTTAATGCTAAAGAGATCTTTTGCAACAAATTTGCTCATTGTAGTATGTTATTAGATTTCTTGACTGCTGCTGCTATGAGCTTTGATTATGGGTGCTTGACACCACTCTTTTTCTTTTCTCCATTTGTCATGATGTTGCTAACAGGTCCAATTATGCGTATATTTTTTTTTTTATATTAAGCTGTAATCCATAACCAAGGCTATATTTACCTTCAGCAAGCACTCAAGTCCTCCTTACTTTTCAACAAGCAAGGTTGTTAATGAGACTTCTTCCAATTCATTCTTCTTCATATAGTCCAATTTATTTAATTCATATAATCCAGTTTGATTATTTGCTCAGTATACAGATTAAATAAATATGGTAAAAGGATAAAAACCTTATACACACCTTTCCTGATTTTAAACCATGCAGTATTCCCTTGTTCTGTTGGAAGTACTGTCTTGTTCTATGTACAGGTTCCACATGAGTACAATTAAGTGTTCTGTAATTCCCATTTTTTGCAAGGTTATCCATAATTTGTTATGACCTGAAAATCAAATGCCTTTGAACAGTCAATAAAATGCAAGTAAGCGTCTTTCTTTCCCTATGCTTCAAACCCTATGCTTTCAACCAAAATCCATCTGATAGTAGCAATGATACTCTTGTGTGAAATCCTCTTCTAAATCTGGCTTGAATTTCTGGCAGTTTGTACTGCTACAGTCATTTTTTAATTATCTTCAGCAAAATTTGTGTTTCTTAAAGATAATGTTTGATAATTTGTGCATTCTGTTGGGTCAACTCCTTTCTTTGTAATGAGTACAAATATGGATCTCTTCCAGTAGGTTGACCTTCCAGCATTTCATCCCGTTGACGAAACATCTCAAATGATATTCCATCAATTCCAGGAGCCTTGTTTTTATCCTATGCTTTTAATGCAGCTTCTTTCTTCACTACCATCAGTTCTTGAAGTCGTTGAACATTGAGAAATTCTTTTTGATGCAATGACTCTTTTATCCCTATCTTCTTTTGATGCATATTGCCTGGGGCTCCTTCAATATTTTGCCCATAGACTCCTTCAATATTACCACTTGAGGCTTGGATTTTTTTTTCAGTTCTTATAGCTTGAGAAATGTCAAGTGGGTTTTTTACTCTAGTTATTTTCCCATTCAGTATATACTGTACTTTGTCTTCATGAGCCACCCTTTGAAATGGTCTATTTAGCTCTTTTACTTCATCATGGCTTCCATTAATTTAGGTGCTCTGTATTCAAGAGCAAGTTTCAGTGTCTCTTCTGACAATTCATTTTGGCCTTTGGCCTTCTTTCTTTCTTCTTTTTAAAGATCCTTTGCTCTCTTCATGTATGATATCCTTAATGTCATCTTACAACTTGTCTGATCTTTGGTCATTGGTGTTCAAAATGTCAAATCTATTGTTAAAATAGTGTCCAAATTAAGAAAACACAATCAGCCTAATCCTGCCACTCAGGAATAGCCATTAATCATTTTGTATAGTTTCTTCCAATCATTTCTGTGCACATACATCTTTTTACATTATTGAATCCTATTACATTATTTCCTCTTTTAAATTTATATTATGATTTCAGAACCACATATTAACATTTCTTTGAAACAATGTTTAGAGAGTAAGCATAATAACAATGTAACCTTTCCATCCTATAGATCAGGGTGGTTCATGTGATCATAAATGATGAGATTATATTTGCTAATATTTGGTGCATATTATCTTCTGGTGTAGGGCTGTAGGAGAAGCACTGGACTTTGAACCACAAAGTCAGTGGTTCAAACACACCAGCTGCTCCTTGGAAACCCTACACAGGGTCGCTGTGATCAAAACTGACTCCATGGCACTTGACAACAGCAACATTAATCTTAATAAGCATTTATTTCTTCATGATTTAAACTTTGTTTTCCTCTCTCCAAATCTTAATGTATGGTTCCTTGAGACCAAGGAAATAAAACTTAAATGGCACATGGTGGTAAACTAGTAAAACTTAAAATAAAAAGTAATCATTATACCTACCCTTGCACCATAGAAGTTTTCTCCAAAGATAACTACCATTAACATGTTTTAGTGTAGTTTTTCTGAAATTTTTATTCCAATTCATAGCAACCCTATTATAGTATATAGACTTTCTGAGAATGTAAGTCTTTGCAGAAGCTCACAGTCTCATCTTTCTCCCAAGCAGTAACTGGTAGGTTTGAACTGCTGACCTTGTATTTAGCAGCCTAGCACTTACTGCACAACACCACCAGGGCTCCTTAATGCATCTTAGATCTTTAAATATTATCACCTTGTGTAAGTGATACCAATAGCAGTCAGATAAATGAGCCTCAAGTTTTGGTGAAAGTCATCACTCTTAGCATCAAAATGTGGGTGTTATCAGTACAGAGATAGTAATTAAAACCATGGCGCTAAATGAAATTTCCCTGGTAGAGAATGCAGTTGGAAAGAGAAAGGGTTGTCGGAGAATTTTGTCAGTGGAGGTAGGATGGTAGTTTGATACAAATTCTGCACTCTGGAAATAAGAGTCCCTTTCTTTTCCAGATTAACATCCCTTCAGATATTTAAAAGTATAATTATATTTGCAAATAGTAATGTGTTAGTTTTTCTACTCTCAAAAAGCTTATACCATAGCCAAAAGGAGAGCATCACTGCAGGATCCTCTATGGTCAATAAAAGACATAGTAACACTGTCTACCTAAGTAAGACTTTGTATGCTAAAGAGAGAACTGGACAAGATTGTGTTTGGGCACATTCAGAGATGATGTCTTGATGAAGTTAAAACTTACCCTTTCTTTAAAAAAATGACAAAACCAAAAAGTCACTCTGCTAAGTTTTAAAAAAGTTAGCTGCAGAATCAAGTCCCATCAGAGATAATTATTTCATAGATGCTTATATATGTATCTTTTTTAAAAAAGATAATGATTGGCTCTAGAGAGGTAGAGTGAGGAATGAAACTCCGTGGGGTGGTATTCCAAGGAAACGTTAGCTTTATCTGTAATGTTTAATTCTTTTAATATGACAGATTGAGAATGGGAGAATCAAAATTAAAGCAATGAAATTAGCAAGTATGTATTTAGAGATACCACTAAAAAAGTCTTAACCACTTAAACTGTTATAATGACATCTTAAGAGCCAGTGTATTCTCTATGTGGGGTATTTAATTATTGGAAATTTCTTCGTTTAACAGAGTTCATGATCTGTCTCCTTGAAGTTGATTAGCGCATTCAGCAGTTATTTGAGCAGCTGCCATTATTCTTGTAGATACTGGTGGTATAGCAATGAGTGGTACAAGGAGGGTCCCTGTTCTCTCACAGAATGTACTTTGGCTCCCATCCCCATCTAAGACAAGACAAAAAAATCAGTTAACTACTGTGTGGATAAATAAAGAGGGTGATGTCACAGGGGCTGATGAACCATTTTGGATTAGAAGGACAAGGAAGGCTTTTCTGATGATGTGACATGTCAACTTGGATTTGAAAGATGGCGTGGGAGAGGATTCTAGTCTGAGACCAGCTAGTGCTAATGCCATAAGACAGGGACAAGCGTGGTTTGTTTGAAGGATATAAGAAAGCTAGTATGCATGGAGCATAATGTGTGAAGAGATGTGAGGTGCCAGTGGTTTGAACTAAGGAGGGGGTAGTGGAAGTGGAGAACAGAAATTAGTGTTTACTTGAGGTAGAGTCAGTCAACAGTACATGCTATTGGATTGGATGTGATTATGAGTTCTTAGCTATAGCAGCCAGCTAGTGAAGCCATTTACTGAGGCAGGACTTGTGGAAAGGTAGGCAGCAATTATCAAGAGTTTTGTTTTGAACATGTTAAGTTTGAGAGGCCTACAAAACTTATAATTGATGTCACATAAGCAGTTGGATGGACTTTTGGTGTGGCGCTGTAGGATCAGCACTGGCCTGCGCGAATCACAAGGTTGGCAGTTCAAACCCACCAGTTGCTCCTCAGAAACCCTATACCAGGGTCGCTATGAGTCAGAAGTGACCTGACGGCACTTAACAGCAACAAAGCATTTGGATAAATGAGCCTGAAGTTCTGGAGACAGTCCCTCTGGACATTGAAATGTGGGAATCAGCAGTGTAGAGATGGAATTTAAAGGTAGGAGGCCAAATGAAATTTCCCAGGAGGGGAAAGTAGAGAAGAAAGGGATTCATTAGAACTAGTTGGAATATTCTAACCTTTTGAGGTTAAACAGGGGATGATGAGTCAGCAGAAGGATAATGGTGCAGAAGAGGTAGGTTGGTAGCTTTATTCAAATTCTGTCCTCTGGAAACAGAGTTCTTGTCCAAATACACATCCCTTCAGATATTTGAAGGTAATTATTATTGTCTCTTACTCCATCCATCTTCTTTTTGTTCCCACTGCCACCTACCACCCAAGACTTTTTAATGTCTCACTGTTGCAGGGAGACATCTAGGTGCCCCACCTGTAGCCTTGCCACAACTTCATGCCATCCTGACGGTATCATTCACTTGGTGTTCATGACAGTCCAGTGTTCGGAAATGCATCACTGCCTCTGGGAATACATCCACCCCTCTCATTCAGGCGGTCAGGGTTCTTCACACATTGTCAGCTCCAACCTCTGTTATTCTCTCTCTGGCCAATGCTTACCTGTAGTGTTTGCTGTTCCTCAGACATGTCTTAGAGTTCTCTGTCTCTGCTTTTGTTAATACTGTCACTCTACTTATTCAGATCCTACCCATTGTTCTAGTTGTTTCAGATACCACCTGGGCCACAAAGCTTTGCCTTACTTTGCCACTCAGAAGTGAACTGTTCTGTTCCTGGACTGCTTTTGATCTCTCCTATCCCTGTAGGCAGACTCACAGGGCAGGTACCCCTTTACTCAGTACCTGTGTATTTTATTGACCCATCCAAGGTAGATCATAGCCTATTGTAAAGTGCATTTTTTGTTATTGTTCCTCAAGTTTGATTCCAGTCATTAATTTGAAAGTGTGTTTTTTAAAAAACTAAAACCTGAAGCATTGTTAAGATTTGAGAGCTTTTATATCTGTCTTATCTATATATGACATTTCAGAGACGGTAGCTCTAGGGTCATAGAATCTTTGTTTTGAAATTGGGGTTTTTTTGTGAACTATTTCTCTTGTGTCCTGATTTATTTTTTGCTTTTTCCTTCTATTTAGCATGGAAGAAGAAAAGGAAGATGGTAAAGTTATACCTACAGAATGTGCCATCAAGGTATTTAAAACAACCCTTAATGAGTTTAAGAATCGTGACAAATATATTAAAGATGATTTCAGGTTTAAAGATCGCTTCAGTAAACTAAATCCACGTAAGATCATCCGCATGTGGGCAGAAAAAGAAATGCACAATCTCACAAGGTAAAGAAAATCATTGTGCCTACAAGTAATCTTGGGTGCCTTTCTGTATTAAGGCTCGTTAGCAGGCAGAAAATCTGTTTTCATTTAAATTCATTTATAGAAGTAACAAAAGATCTTGGAATTATTGTGTTAAATAGGGCTTTTAGTAAAAAATATATATATATATATTGCCATACATATAACCTGAATTCATACTTTTAGGAAGTAAAATCCTTTTTTTCTGTTCTTCTATAAAATGAGCAATTCTAAGGCTTTTTCTGCTGAAGACATTTCCTCATATATCTAAATGCTTGTTAAAAAATTGTCTTCCTCAAGACACAAAAATTTCAGCTTGCTTCCAGTTAGGTTTAATTAAATAATGTTTTTCTTATTTGTTTCAGAAACTGTTTACTACAGCTAGTATTTGATAATTTGGTGGGATGGGATCTTATCAAATTGTATTTTGCTTAAATTGGTTAGTCTTGTTTCTCAGGTTTCAAAGCAGTTTAATTTTGCTAAGGAATTTTTTTTTTTTTTTTTTAATCATCCAAGAAACTGAGTAACAATTCTTCTCATAACTAAATTTCCCCATTACCTATTGGAAACTTAATTGTAGCCTGTTCTTTTCTATGACAGATACTGGCTTTCATAAATAATTATGTATTTTTAGTAATTACAAACTTTTCTACTTATAGAACTTTGAAGTATAATTTTATAAAAGGTCTTTCTGCTCTTCAAACTGTTTTCAGTAACTCCCCATAGCTTTCATAATAAAGTTCAGTGATGTGGAGCCTAATTGTCTTTACCTTGCATTGCTTCCTCACATCTAGCTGTGTGGATTTATGCATATTCCCCAAATGGGCATTTATGCAAACAACTTCCTCTGTCTGGCAGCTTCAATAATCCTCCATGATGCTGTGTGCTCCCGTAGCTCTTGCCCACATCTCTGTTGGCATGTGCCTCCTACTGTGATCTGACTGCTCACTTGTCTGTCATATCTAGCAGACCCTGGGCTCCTTTAGGGCAGAGGCGGTATCTTACTGTCTCTCTGCAAATCTACAGGGTTGTCTATAGCGTGCTAGCTGACTACAGGGTCTGAATAGATGTTTGTTGAATAAATGAAAGAATTTCTCCATCTAATCTTTACATTCTTTATTATCTCTTTCTGTGTAGAATGCAGAGGGCTGGAATTCCTTGTCCGACAGTTGTATTGCTCAAGAAACACATTTTAGTTATGTCTTTTATTGGCCATGAACAAGTTCCTGCTCCTAAATTAAAAGAAGTAAAACTCAGTAATGAAGAAATGAAGGAAGCTTACTATCAAACTCTTCATGTAAGTTGTGCTTTTGAAAGCATACACAAACCACCTTTAAAAATATTCTAAACTTTCAAAAAGATTTCCTAAAATAGAATAATTTCAAGGTTATAACATAACAAGGATAAAGATGGTTTCTGAGAAGAAATTAACATTGAAGAGGTTTTTTTATATCAATTATGAGTGTCTCAAGTTATTTTTTGAAAAATGACAGGCTTATGGAACAAGTGAAAGCATTAGTTAGCGTTAATGACTTACAGAAGCATGAAGCTATTATCCACAAAGCTTCAGGAGAAAAAAATGTAGCGTGTAACGTTACCACATTTAGTTCTTTGCTTTGCATGTCTTCTTGCATGCTGTCGCTCTCACAGCAAAGGAAATACCTAGTATTTTTGTTGGAAAATCAGAAACAGATTTGGTCTCACAGTAAGAAAGTAATGATCAAACTTGAAAATGGTAGTGGGTGGGTTTCTCTGTTAATGCAAGTTTTAGAGTTGGCAGACATGGGTCAGAAATCTTGAGCAAGTTATATAGGCTTCAGGGCCGCAATTGCATTCAATCTGAGATCAGCTCCCAATACTGTCATCATTTCTCTGCCTTGTTTCAATCAAACAGAAGAGAAACAGACAAGTACTTTTTCTGTGCAGTCTGTGTGATGCTATGGTGTCATTCAGCAGCCAATGTGAATATGAAAGTGTTATCCATATAGTTTGAAAAAATACAGCTAGATAGAAGATCCAGTAGGAAAACAGTGACAGTGAATCCCAGTCCATTTTCTGTGACTTCTTTGGGAGGTGGAATGGCTAGGGAAGAGATGAAATAGTAAAGTAGCTTCCCTGTTTTGTTCTCTTATGTCTAGGAAACAATGTATTAATTTTGATTTCTACTGTATGGCTAAGGGTCATTATCATCAATAATGAATTGGTTATGTGGCACTGTAGGATAATCACTTGACTGCTGACCACAAGGTCAGCAGTTCAAACCCATCATCCGCTCCTTGAAAACCCTTACACAGGGTCACTGTGAGTTGGAACTAACTTGACAGACCATAACAACAGTAATGTTATTTCATTCACAAAAATATCTCTTTCTCATTACGTCTGGCAGGAAGTGCTTTTCCACTATGGAATTGTATATACCCCACAGAGTTCTCCTTAGGACATTCATGTTTCTATGATAACCTAGGTTCCTTGGTTAGTGCTCAACATTATAAGATCATTGATCAGAGACAGGGCTGCACTTCTACTCTGTAAGAATCCACTTCTTCCCTTGTCTACTGATCTCTGCAGTCGTGTGGGTAAGGAAGTAGAGTGTAGCTTATTTATCTTGCTCTGCCCTGCCATTGTCTTACTTACTGTTCCCCCACCATCTCTCAAAAAAGCCCACTTCTAAACTGTACCAAGTAAAGAAGAAATACATTCTTTACTCTGGCTTGTATTTATGGAAAATACCAATTAATACACACATTTTAGTTGTGTAGGTAAATTCTAAGTGTCCCTTCATTTGATGAATGTTTGCTGTACCTCCTCACAGATGATGCAGCAGTTATATAATGAATGCACGCTTGTCCATGCTGACCTCAGTGAGTATAACATGCTATGGCATGCTGGAAAGGTGAGAAGAATATGGTGTTACGTTCAGATTAAATTACTTGCATGTGAATTACTTGCATGTGAATAAATCATGTGTGTGCTATACTTCAATAGGTCTGGTTGATTGATGTCAGTCAGTCTGTGGAACCAACCCATCCTCATGGCCTCGAGTTCTTGTTCCGTGACTGTAGAAATGTCTCACAGGTATGCATGTAAGGAACATGCCCTTAATGGGATGAAACCGGTCCAAATCTTTCTCACTTTTAATTAAGTAAGAAGGACCATATTCTTAGACATTGAAGGAAGTGGGGATACTAGTTACTTTCAAGATAAGCTTAAAATCTTGGAATTGTATCAAGAGAATACATTTTCATTTGGGCTCCAAATGTTCAAGCAAGTAGACAGTTCAATTTAATGCAAAGTGCTTCAACAGAAGCTGACCTTTAGTAAATCTGCATACTTAACTGCCATTAGTATGAACATTAAAAGGAAGATTATCTTCTTAATGAGACAAGTGTTTGATCATTTACTGAGGAGAGTTAAAACTCAGTAATCCCAGTGTTAGGTCAAGTTCATTTGCCATTTTTAAGGGATAACAATTGCTAGCAACAGATTGATAGGTATTATCTTTCTAAATGACTGAATAACTTTCTGAGTTGAAATTTTAACTAATGAGTTTTAGGGAATGTATTGAGTCTGCACATTGATAAAAATGCCAAGCAACTTTATATATACCACTTGTAACTATGGGGGGAGGTGCATTGTGACAAATTAAATCTAGACAATACAAGTGGTGTGTAAGAGGACAAAAAAGCAAGTAGATCATGATCAGAGTTAAACTTGAATTAGAAAAATTTGTGGTCTAGAAATTCAGAAAGGAATTTTTAATGGTGTCTTACAAGTATTCTGTTCCCTATTTTTAATTTATGAGATAACTGTTAATATCTCTTACTAGCTTTCTTATATTTCTTAATTTATTAGTTTTTCCAGAAAGGAGGAGTAAGTGAAGCCCTCAATGAACGGGAGCTCTTCAATGCTGTTTCAGGCTTAAACATCTCAGCGGATAATGAAGCTGATTTCTTAGCTGAGGTATTTTTAATGCACAGCTATTTTAACCTTCCTGGTAATAGTGTACTGGATACAGTAAATAGCTGAAACCCGGAATTCATTTTATGAATTCTTCCCTTCAAAAACAAAATTAATGAAGTTTTCCTTTTCTTGAGATGTTGTTTTTGGTTCTTTGCAGGTTTAAAACCTAGAATAAACATAGGACAAAGAATGAATAAATAATACATTTCCAATATACTCTTATTTTCTCTATTTTATTAATGAAAAAGTTGACTGGTAAACACTCCATATAACACAAAAAATGGTAACACACATGACCCCAGCCCTTAACTGAGCATAAGTTAGGAATGGTCATCCTTGGAAATACCTGGTCATTATAGTGTTGGATTTACAGAACCATAAAAAAAATCCTTCTCTGGAGAAATCCTCATCAGATTGAAAGTATGACTTGAGTTGAGGCCAAGCTAAGTGCAGAGAAGGAACAGGAAAATGGTAAATCCAACACAATAGAGTTATTTAGTACATAGATATTACCGTTGTTACGAGCTTATAGGAATTCTCTTTTTCTTCCCTGAAAGCTTTGTACAGGACATAGTTAAACATCTCTAATTCCAGTTGCTAACTTGATAAACATACAGCTATACTGACCCTGGTAATAACGTACATGTATGCTGAGGAGTGAGCGGAGTATGTGTATACTTCCATAGGCTCAACCTGAAGTAGTTCTAAGTGTTCCCTCATTTCTGAAGTAGAGGCTCTATCTGAAGTGTAGTTTCTGTAAAGTAGCATTTTGACAAATGAATGCATTAATTTTATAGATAGAAGCATTGGAGAAAATGAACGAAGATCATGTTCAGAAGAATGGAAGGAAGGCTGCTTCATTTTTGAAAGATGATGGAAGTCCGCCAGTACGATATAATGAATAACACCAGTATCTGCTGCCTTTCAGTGTTAACACAGTGAAGAGCGTAAGCTGCCAATGGCATTGAAGTGCTGGGTGACTTGAAATAACCAAAAAGGAAACATGAGGCGTGTACAGTGGTGCTTCTGTGTTGGTTTTTTTTTTTCCTTGTAACCCATGTGCCAGATATATGGAATTTTTAGCTCAGTATTGAGAGAATAAAATGTTACTACCTCTCATCTTATGAATAGGGTAATATAATCCTTTAACAGCTAAAGGTTATCTGCCTGAAATACACCTAATTTAACATGGTTCATGGTCTAGAATATTTTCATGAGAATTTTTTTAACTTAGGCAATGTTTCACAATATGGGAGGAAAGGACAGATGTGTTTATAGGGGAGGGTTTTGTTATAGCATATTTGCTTTTTTCACCTGCCTGTTTTGTGTTGCATCTTTCCTCAAATACTTTTTTGACTTAAAGTTAGACCCTCTCAATTCTTTTTCCAGACTATAGCTATGATTTTAAAGGAAACTTTCTTTTTAGTGATAAAAATACAAAGTTGGTTCCACAGCAGCTGATGCTAATAGACAAAAGCAATATACTTTGTATTGGTACATCATGCAAAGGCACTGAATGGCACTGTTTCTATACCTTGATCCAAGAAAGGTATACATTTCTGACAAAAGATAAATATGTAAGAAATTCTCACCTGTCCAAAAAAAATTTTTTTTAACTTTCAGGTTTTCTACATTTAATTAAAATGTTCAGGATATAACTCAGTGTAGCTGCTTTGCATGTATATTGAAAATATAAATTCTTTGGAAGGGCAGAATGTAAGATTTTAAGTAATGTTAGATACATTTAAAAGAAGTTAGTGAAACAAAGTTAATTTCACTCAAACTATGTACTTACTGACTTTGAGAGAAATATGGCAAGCAAGTTAGAAATATTAAATAATTAAATGAGGGAAAAGTGTGTTTAAAGCAGCTCGGGTACCAAATTAACCAACTACTTTGAATTATCTGATCTTTTCAAAGTGTCTAGTATTAGACTCCTTTTGCAAGAGAAAAAACAAGCTCTGTTCTTTGCCCATTGGTTTGTTAGGGTGAAGTTTATAAAGCATAATGCAGCATAATGCATCCCACTGTTATCACTAAAGATCCAGACTTTGTCTGATACAGAACAAATCTAAGCATCTTAACATTTTTAAATTCCAAATATGTTCTTTAAAAAAAGTTTTTGTTTCTGTTAAAATAGTTTTTAACTGGATTTCAGAGAAGTGTGATGGGGTAGATAGTACATTTATGAAATGTTTACTATTCTGAAAGATTAAGTGACTGATGATTATTGACAGAAATTTCAGAGAACTAATTGTAAAAGCCTTTCCCATTTAACTTTTGTTTTCTGCCCTAACATACTCTGTGTGACAAAGAGCAGCAAACCATTGCTGTATAGCATTCTTGGAGCATGCTGTGAACATGCTTTTTGAAAAATTAAAAATGAAAAGATCATTTTAGAATTGGTTCTTTGTGTGCTTTCTTCCTGTTTAAGTCTTGATGTTGTTGTTGTTAAGTGCCGTTGAGTCAATTCCGACCCATAGTGACCCTGTTTAGGGTTTCCAAGGAGCAGCCGGTGAGCTTGAACCATTGACCTTGCAGTTCAAACAACTTCGCAGTCTGACGCATTAGCCCACAGCGCCACACCAGGACTCCGTAAGTCCTGATGATAGTCCTGTTTTAAGCAGCTTTTCCCCCTCATCTTATTTCGATTTCACTTTTATGGGCTATTTTCACATTCTTGTTGTTGCAAAGTATCATGAAACCTCTCCAACTCATAGTGATGCTGTGTTTGGTTTCCAAGGCTGTATATCTTTGTTGGAGAGGAAAGCCTCATTTTTCTACCACACAGAGCTACTATGCTTCCTCTACTTCACAGAGTAAATTGTTCACATAGAAGAAAATGTTGGTTTGCTAAATAAATCAAATACAAAATACGTAAATTATGAGAACTGGGCTATTGCTACATTTGAATGAAAATAGATAAATGAGCTATACCACGAGTTGTTGTCAAAATAAGATGACTAAGAGAATTTTTATTTAGACAAGATACTCCACTGCCAGTTTCCCTTTTATTTAAAAATGTGTTTTCTAACAAAAGTAAAACATGTTCATTTGATTTTAACTCTGGTCAAATTTTAAAAACATTAAAGTGTAAACCCCTTGTACTCTAAACCCCCCTGTTCATAGTGTGAACATCCCTGGCAATTTTTTTTGTCCCTAAGCATATATTGTATTGTTGTTGTTAGGTGCCATCGAGTCAGTAACAACCCATAGTGACCTTATGAATAGCAGAATGAAACACTGCCCAATCCTGGGCCAACCTCTACTGTTGCCATGCTTGAGTCCATCAATGCTTCCACTTGTCCAATCCATCTCGCTGGGGGTCTTCCTCTTGACTCTCCACCTTACCAAACATGATATCCTTCTCCAGCGACTGGTCCCTCCTGACGATATGTCCAAAGTATGAGAGATAAAGTTTGGAGCACTTCATCTTGGCCTCCAAGGAGCACTCTTGTTGCATTTCTTCCAAAATGGATCTATTGGTTCTTTTGGCAGCCCGTGGCACTTTCAATATTCTCCTCCAACACCATAACTCAAAAGCATCAATTCTTCTACAGTCTTCCTTATTCACTGTCCAGCTCTCGCATGCATATGAGGTTATTGAAAATACCTTGGCTTGGGTCAGGCACACCTTAGTCCTCAAGCTGACATGTTTGCTCTTCAACACTTTAAAAATGTCTTGTGCAGCAGATTTGCCTAATGCAATATATCGTTTAATTTCTTGACTGCTGCTTCTGTGAGTGTTGATAGTTGATGCAAGAAGAATGAAGTCCTTGACAACTTCAATCTTTTCTCAGTTGATAAGAATGTTGTTTATTGGTCCAGTGGTGATTGCATTATGTCCTTTAAAAAAATCTTTTGAGTAAAAAGGGGGATCAAGCAAGGTAACTGAAGGTGAAATGTGGATTGTAGTAGAATTCCCTAAGCAAGATAGTGATGGAGCCTCTAAGGTATGTTAGAGGGAATATGGTGTTATGTTGATGTGTTTTGTTTGTTGCTCAATTAGGCTGTACACAAGAGATTGATTGCACCTTTTGACATTCCTTTTTTTTTCTAACACTTTAGAAACTGAAGGAAGGAAAAGCTCATTTGGTTGTATTTTCAAACTTAAATAGTCTTTTTTAAGTATTACATGCACAGTTTTATTTATACAGGCACGGGTTTATTCCAAATAAAATGTTTAAACAGGTCTTTGTGATCAGTGGCTGGCTGCAGACAGGTTCTTGTGGTAATACACTTGTCTTAGTCCCATTTAGAATGCCCTCCAACAAAAAAGAAAAGATCCCATCAAAATTGGCTCCCAAGGGGATCTGCTAGTTAAATTCAAGCTAGCGTTAAATTCACAGCAGAGACATGAGATCAGAAGATTGTGGTGACTATGGTTTGGGATCCCAAAGGGGAAATCTTGATAGATTTTCTCAAAGCACACAGAATGATGACAGGGATTTATTAGGAAGAAGTTTCAAGAAAATTGAAAATGGGTGGGCGCTAGGGTTGAGGAAGCCGTGAGTCCAGAGCTTAGATTGGGGAAGGATGGAGCGCTGACCTGTTAATGTCTGCCATACTGTTTGCCTCTGTAACCTGCTCCTGCTGTCACCTTCTCATTTAACACCTGATCTTTGATTTGGAAGAAATAACTGGTAACAAGCATGACTGAGTTCTGCCATATCTCAGCTCCAGGGGAGAAAACACGTCAGCAAACATGGGAGAACAACAATCTTTCTGTGACTTCCAAGTTATTCCTGACTTCAAGGTTGGCACACTCGATGTCTTGGATGGTTTGTCAGATGAACTGGCTAACCTGGATCCATTTGTAGAAGGGGTGGTTAAAGTGGCCTAGTACATAGCTGATGCATAGGAAGATAGCAAAGATAAACTTCAGGAGAATCTGTTGGTCAATGGAATTGACTTGGTTGCATATATAACAAGATAGCAGTGGGATATGGCCAAATAATCAAGCAGTCCCTGAAAAATCTACCTGACATAATTGTCAAGGGAGAAACTCAGATTGACAATGACCTGAAATCCCGAGACTTTGCATATAATAACCTGAAAGAGAACCTTCAGAACTTGGAGTGCAAAAATGTGAGACGTTCACTAAGTAAAAGTCTAGTAGAAATTAGGAAGAAGGATGACTTTGTCCTTAGAGTATCTCGTCACGTTATTAGTGATAGTTCCAAAGTGAAACCACAACAATTGGATTAAGCAGTATGAGACTCGAGCTGAACTGGTAGTTCCAAGGCGTAGCAATGCTCTCTCCAAGTAACAAGACAGTTACCTTTGGAATGTCACCTTGTTTAGGAAGGCTATCGATGACTGCAGACACAAAGCCAAGGAAAACAAATTCATCATTTGTGACTTCCAATATACTAAAGAGGTGAAAGCAGATAGAAGAAGAGAACAGGCTTTCTACAGACAAGAAAAAGCAGTTTGGTCCACTTGTCCTGTGGCTGAAAGTGAATTTCAGTTAGGCATTAATTAGGTAGGTTCATGTGAAAGCTTTAAGGGTTTTTGTTGAGTCTGTTTAAGGTATGGCTTGCCAGTGAATTTTCAAGCAATGGTACTTCAGCCCAACAAGAAAACAAGAAACTTCGGGAAGTATTACATGGATTGTACAAACACCTAGACAGCGGCGCAGCAGCTTGCGTCTATGGCTATTCCAGGCTTAAACCTTAGTCAACAGGAATACTACCTCTATGTGTATTACAAGATTGATTGCAACTTGCTGGAATTCAAGTAAAAATGGACTCCTTGCCAGACAATCTTGTTCTTGTGTTGGTGGTGGTGGTGTTGTTAAGTACCATCGAGTCGGTTCCAACCCATAGCGACCCTAAACAGGGTTTCCAAGGCTGTAAATCTTGATGGGAGCAGAAAGCCTCATCTTTCTCCCGCGGAGCAGCTGGTAGTTTTGAACTGCTGACCTTGAGGTTCACAGCCTGATTCTATCCTAACAGAAATAGGTTGCAGTCTGACAGTACTTTTAACCCTTTGCTTGCCTCCTACTCCTTTTCTTAGGTGAGTTCTCCCATAGTGGTCAGTTTCTCAGCATTTTGTTTTTAAAGGAAAATAACGTGTATTGTTTCTTTATATTCATCAAGTCTAAAACTAAACAAGAAAATCAAGAGTTTATTTATAAACAGATAACTGGTAGGCATTAATCCCATTTGTTACTCTTGTGTATAAAGACCTTGTTTACAAGGGAATGGTGTAAACGTTTACGCCATGTTATTCACTGTATTTAGTAGATACAACTGTTTAATCGTTATGTGACAATATTCAGGTTTGTGCTCTGAGAACTGTCATCACCCACAGGCAAGAATAAAATGACCAGTGCAAAGGTGTGATGTCAGAGGCTCCCAGGTCAGTTGGAGGCTAACACATGGTGTCAGAGTGAGGAAAAGAAAATGGAAAACTACATTGGTGAGAACAAAGACCTGGAAAATTATGGCAAATAGTTGTGTGTTTTTTTTTCCTTCCCCCAATGATACCATTGTACCTACTCGTTTTTTGAAGGTAGCAAGGGCTGTCCTGTGAGAATTTCTTTGGGAAATTTTAACCCCATTCACCCTACAGCCCTGATCTTGCCCCTTCAGATTTTTGTTCCTCAAACTCAGTATTTCAAAGGAATACACTTTGAGTCCATAGTTGTTAAATGCCATTAACTCAGTAACCCCTCTGAGGAGTAGCAGGTAGGTTTGAACCACAAAGTTTACAGTTAGCAGTTCAGTGCTTATTCTACAGCACCACATCAGGACTCTATAAAGTTCCTGTTGTCAAATGTCACTGAGTCAGTTCTAACTCATAGCGACCCTGTATAGGGTTTCCCAGGAGCAAC